AAGAAGAGGAAAGCGGGATGAGGGGAGAAGGACGAAGGACAGGGAGGGAGGATGGGGAGAGGGACAGGGAGGAAAAGGTGTCCCCCACCTCCCCCACCTCCCCATCCCTTCCGTCTCTCCCTCCCTCCCCCCCCAGCCTTTCCCCCCTCTCATCTCCCCGCCCCACCTCGCCACCCCCCTTTCCCCCGCATCCGAACCCCCCACCCTCCACCCTCCACCCGCCTCTGTCCTCCGTCCCTCCTCGCCTACGCAGCCCCCCCTCCTGCTTCCCTCCGCCCCTGCTGCTTCCTGGATCCCTCCTGTGCCTCACCCTGCCCCCGCACCTGTGCAAGGTCGGGAACTTCTGCTCGGCGTCTCGCGGCGGCGGCACGGGCGACACGCCACCTCTTGCGAGCGGATAGCGTGTCGCTCCGCTCCGCGGGGCGGGAGGCTCGGAAAGGCCCGGAACGTCGAGGCTGGGTGGCCCGGAAGTGGATAGCGTGTCGTGCCGAAACGTGGTGGGCCAGAGCCGGCGGAGCAACGCGCAGTCCAAAGGCTCTTGACCGTATACTCCTCCTTGTACTCCATGGGGGGGAAACGACGGGGGCACTGACCAAGATTGAGCGCGGAACGTCGGCGTCGATTTTGGACGCCCGAAATGGGTACGGAACAAATGGATACAATGCCCAACAACCAGTGTTGCCCCAAACCAACAGCGGCCGCTGTTGGGCAGGCGGCCTTCTGTCTCAAGTGGACACATGCCGCGGCAGCGCGGACAGCGAATCCTGTTCAAAATCAATAGGAACTGCTGTTGGGCATTGTACCCATTCTTTCCGTACCCACTTCGCTCGTGCCGATCCATCCTGGGCACCGTCCATCTTGGCCAGCGTGAACTCCTGCATCAACCTCGCGGATCGGCGACGACTGGCATGAACCATGCGCAAGATCGGCGCCGACAAGATCCCGCGGCATCTTGGCCGCGGTCCCCGTGCTTCTTTCCTCGCTTCTCTCTTCTTTCTTCTCTTTTTCTTTTCTTTCTCTCTCTCCGTCTCTTCTTCTCTCTCCCTCCGTCTTCGACTTTCTCCTTCTTGTCTCTTTTCTTCTCTTCTCTCTCTTCTTCTCTTCTGTTCTTCTTCTTCTCGTCTATTCTCATTCTCCTCTCTTTCTTCTCCTTTCTCTTCTCTTTCTCTTTCTTCTTTCTAAAAAAAGAATATCTCTTCTTCTTCGTTCTTCTATTCTTCTTCTCTCTTCTTTTTCTACTTCCTTCTGTCTTTCTTCTTCCTCTCTTTTCTTCTCCTTCTTTCTTTCTTTCTTTTCTTTCTCTCTCTGTCTTCTCTTTCTCTCTTTCTTTCTTCTCTCTTCTCTCGGCCCCCGGCGGCTGCCGGGGTCGAGTGCCGGCGCCTGCATTGGGCAGGGACCGACCGTCCCGGCATTCCTATAGTCCTACCACGAAATCTTCTTAGAACCCAAAAATGTTCTAAGAACAAAAACAATGCTCTTAGAACATAACCCCATGTGTTAAAACAAAACAAATCTCTGCAAGAAATGGTCTGAGAACATTCCGTGGAAACCACCAATGGTTCTTAGAACATTGTTGGGTAGGGCTATAGGCGAGCCAGGACGCTTCGCCGGGCCGGTCCCCCTACAGAGGGATTTTCCAGGAGAAATCAAAAATACCTCCCCAAAAAAAATCAAAAATTGTGTATTACAAAAAAAAATGGGGACTATTTTTTGAGTATTGTTTTACCTTTTGGGGTATTTTGGGGTTTTTGTTTTTCGTCGAAAATCCCCCTGCAGGGGGACACGCCCGACATAACTCCAGTCGGGCATGTGGCCTGGGCCCCGCTGGCCGCTCGACACCCCCCAAAAAGAGATGTGGGCCGTCTCCTTCGGGCTGCGAGAGGCGCATCCCCACCTGGAGGGCTGAGAGGGTGGTGCCCCAACCCAACCCGAAGACCCGAATTTCGGGTTGGGGGGGTAAGGGTTCCACAAGTGCTTTTTCGATGTTTCCCGACCCCCCCCCCCACTGGAAATCGAGGGACAATCTGTGCCTTCGGGTTGGGCTGGGGTGGTTTGGTGGGTGGTGAGGCGGGGGGTCAGGTCAGTTCTCAAGCCCCTCGAGGCACTCTTCTGAAGCTGTGAAAACGCTGGCTCGGGCCGGGGCACGAAAGACGCTGCAGCACGCCCCCCTTCGACCCGCTGCTGCCCCCCCGTGCCCAGCACGCGCGCCCTCCCCAGCCGTACACCTGCCCCTCCATCCGCCCATCCGTCTGTGCCCTACCCCCTCCCTCTCCCCCCTCGGCCCCCGTCGCCATGCCCTCTGCCTCCTCCTCCGACGACGACGACTTCCCTCTTCGTTCTAAATAGCTCCTGCCCGTCAAACACCGAGACGAGTCGGTAGGCCGCGCAGGGCGTTTCGCCTGAGACTGCCCCACCATTTATGATCCTGAAGCTCGAGATTTGCAACAGTTTCGAGGATGGAAGGCGGGTCGCTTCCAAGATGTGATTGCCGTCTTAACGCCGCGCATACTCACCGCAAACATGTGCAGGAGCTTCACGGATCGAAGGCAGGTCGTCCTCAAAATGCGCTTCTCGCCGTGACGCCGCGCAACATTCGCCCTTTAAAGTGTGCAAGAATTTCACGGATGGATGGCGGGTTTGAAGGGGCACAGGGACACACATATAAATACACACAAATAACAGGATTCCCCATATTTTCATATATATATATATATGTTCTGGGTGTTCGTCTTCCCCCCCACTTCCCATAGTTTCCTAAAATTTTCTTGGGGATCGACAATTAATGCTGTCTGTGTGTTTGTTCCCCTCCTGATCATGGCTGACGTCCCAGAAATGTTGTTTCGGAACGGTTTCAGGTTGTCAGGGCGCGGCAGTTATTTTGACTCGCCGTGTTGACGTCCCAGAAGTGGTGTTCTGGCGCGATTCAGGATCGTCGGGTCGCACCAGTGACTTCGATTCGCGGCCTCGAAGTCCCAGGAATGGTGCCCTGGCACAGTTGAAGATCTTCAGACGGTTGTCTTCCAACGGGGCTATTTCCGCAGTGAAACTGGACCCTGAACTGGGCGCCGATGAAGAGGAAACTTGGAGGGAGGGTTTATTACAACATCGCTGCTGAGCCTTGGGTTTACACTGGTCGTCGTCGCCGTCCACCGCCTCCTCTTCTAGGGGAGACGTAAGACTCGGGTACGGTTGGCTCGGGTTGGCCTGCCGGGGCCATTAAAAAAATGGCGGGGCCCAATCTGAAATTTGACGCGAACTCCCGCTGCAAACATCCCACGCAGACTGGACCGTCAAAATCCAGGACGCGCTCGTCAGAAAACGACGGCAGACCCGGGTTCCGGCTTACTCGGGTGTTACGTTTCCCCGATCTTCGGGCGCTGATCAACTTCCCCTCACTTGTCCGCCCCCCCCCCCACAAAAAAAAGCACACCTCCCCGCCTCTGCACCCTCCTCCCCCCCCCTCTCTCCACCCTCCTCCCCTTCAGGAGAAAACAGGGGGGAGGAGGGCCGGACGCGGGAGCCGCGCCTCCCCCCCCCCCGCTGACGTAGGGGGAAAACAAACCTACCTCGCTCTTGACCACCCTCGCTTCCAAGAGATACCAAACGATGCCAAATTGCAGCCTGTACTGGTCAGGCCGCTTGACGAGGAGGCGCGTGGTATGGCTTGGTTTCGCCTGGAAGCGTAAGCGGGGTAGGTAATTCACGCTCTGATGACGGGGAGTCCTCTGCTTGTCGGCCTGGCGAGTCTGCCGGTAGCGCAGTGTCTGGACCGTCATGCGGCGGAGGTCGATGTTCTTCGCCCGGTACTTGTGCATGGCGATGCGCGCCTGCGGCCGCGCAGGGGGGGGGGCGAGGCGCCGGGCGTGGGCTCGTGCAGGAGGACGGTGGTAGCCGCCCTCGTCCTCCCATTCCCCACGCTCCTCTTGCTGCTCATCCTTCTCACTCCTCGTCCTCATCATCGCCCGGCACTCGCTTCCTCCTCGCACTCGCTCCTCTTCTGTCCGGCCTCCTTCTTCCTCCCTTGCTTGCCATCTCTCCTCCTCGTCATGGTCACAATCCGACTCTTCATCAGCATCGTCATCATCATCAGCAGCATCATCAGCATCATCAACATCATCAGCAGCATCAGCATCATCAGCATCGTCATCATCGTGCCAGCATCATCAAGGAAGTGACCGAGGCCAGGAAGAGTGGAAGAGGAAGACACGAACAGGTAGATTCCGATGTCAGCAAGGCGATGGTCGTGGAGGCGGGCTTCTGATAATGAACGGTGATACAGCGATGTCCGGAGTAGTGCGAGGGCATTTGTCACGAGCCCTGATTATGTTGTGGATGCTGTCCATTTCGACTCGGACGGCCATGCAGCGCTTACGCAGGCAGCGCAAGAACCAAAAGTCCAAAGACGCCTGCCTGAAGGCTTCAGAGAATGGGTCGGTGGAAGAACGTCGTCGAGTGAGGTACCCAGCAATAACAAAAGTTCGCCATCGAGATCCACGAGTACGAAAAGAATAACGCCGTCGACAACAACAAGACGTTCAAGGTGCACTTGCGTGCCGGCCGTGAGTTGGTGCGGTGTGCTGATGTATTGAAAGAGGATGCCGTGCGGTGGGCTGAAGGCAAATACTAAGCAGGAGACACGCTGAAGAAAGCAGATAAGGTCATCGATGAGCTGTCTCATGGAGGCAGTTAGGGCAACAGAGGCATGGCCAAAGCAGCCACAGCCATGACGTAGCAGATAATGAACTTCACAGGCGCGACGAATTCATCACGATGCGCATGTGAACACATAATGTACAATGCGTTAGGCAGGAGAGCCATGTTGCTTTAGTGTCGCAAGATGTAGAAGCCATTCCAAACTGGTATCAAGGGTTGCTCAAGAGTGAGCGCGGCGGGCCACCTGCGGGAGCGTAGCAAGAGCAGGGCGGTCCGAGCCGTGTTCAACTTTGAAGGTTGATGATGGCATGATGAGCTAGAGGATAGTGCGATCGCGTGTGCAATGCAGGCTGAGAGCGGTTCTGCTCATTCCGCTCAATTGTGCTCCTGGCATGCGTAAAAACACAAGTGAGCCACGCTATCCGGCTCTTGGGACACGACTGAGTTGATCTCTTGTGCCTTGGGAAGGCATGGAAACGCATTGGACTCGCACCTCCAGTCCCTTGGAAGCCTCAAGTTGGCACACCCCTCAAACACTCAGTGGTTCGTGGACCACAGCGGCGCCCAGCTGGCCCCTCAAGACGGCTAAAGGAAACCTCAATTCGGCAACCCTCCCACGCACTTTGTGCCCCATGGGCCCTCAGATGCTCTCAATTAGGCCCTGAAGAAGGCCCAAGGGATTCTCAAGTCGGAGAGTACCTCGCACGCTTCGCGCATCGTGGGCCTGCAGGGGTGCCCAGGTGGCCCCTCAAGACAGCTCAATGGGAACCTCAATTCGGCGCACCCCCTTCATCACGTTGAGACCTATGGACCCCAAGAGGCCCTCAACTGGCCCTGAAAAAAGTCAATCCAGCATACCCCTCAGGCACTTCATGCCCCATGGACTTCCGGGTGCGCTCAGCTGGCCCCCCAAGGACGCCTTCAGGGAGACTTCTGTCAGGACACCCCTCGCGCGCTGTGTTCCCAATGGGCCATGGGCCCCCCAGAAGCGATCATTTGACCCCCACGAGGCAGCGAGAGAGGCAAACGGACGCCAGATCAGTACCACGGGGGGCTCAACGATGGCCTCGCGGAGGGCCCCCGAAGAGCAGAAGCGGCAACGAAGCTCCTCACAGCTCGCCCACTAATGTGTGTCGGCTCGCAGGGCGGCCTGGGCATCTCGCCCGAGACTTCTTCACCCGCTGCAGCCCCGAAGCCTACACCCTGCGAAATGCTTAAGAAATCATGGGTTAAGAAATTCAAAGTCTCAGAATTTGCAGAAAAAAACCTAGAACTTCTATTCAAATCATGGGATTTACATTGAAACATTAAGAATAATCGAGACTCTGGCCGAAAACTTATGTTTTCTTAAGCATCGCCTATGGTGTACAGTTCCCAACGGCTAACGGACGGAGGGCGGGTGCTGTCTCACCCTTGGCCCTCGCCCTGGCAAGGGCACGCTCGTCTTCAAAGCTCCCAGCAGTTACTCAAAATGTCGTAATAAAAGGGAGGGGGCCTGGACCCTCCAAGACAAGCCATCTCAGACCTGGTCAGCTGACAGTCGAAACGCCGTCCCCAGGCTACTCCAGATTTCGTAATAAAAGGGAGGGGGTCTGGACCCTCCAAGACAAGCCATTTCAGACCTCCCCCGTGGGAGAACCCTCCAAAACATCGTCCCCAGACCCCCCCCAGGCCCTCCAAGATAGCCTGGAAGAGACCCCCCCCCCCGAAATGAGACCCCCCTCCCTTTATTACGAAATCTGGAGTACCCTGATGGAGGGTGACCTGTTTCAACAGATGGGGATCGCTGAAGCGCCGCGCACATCCATTCCAAAAGTCCTGAACAGCCGCAGGAATGAAGGGCGGGTCGCTCTCGTTATGTGGCCCTTGCCTTAGCGCCACGCACAGTCGTCTCAAAAGTTTCGATCAGTCGCACGACATGGGGGACACAATGTGCATAACATGCGTATATCGCAGTAGCGCCAAGCAAATCCGTTGGACAGAATTCAACATCTACAACGATGGAGGGCCCCCTGTTGTCAAAAAAGTGGCGCTCGCCTGAGCCCCACACTCATTCGTCTAGATTGTTTCCAACAGTCACAGACATGGAGGGCGGTTCCTTTTCAGAACGGGGCTCCCGATGTGTACAACTGTGCAACCCATTACAAGGACGAAGGGCGGCTCCTTTTGAACATGGGGCTCTCCCTCGACGCTCCCCCAACAAATCCCATCCGACGTGTAAAATTGTGGAGGACGGCTGTATTTCAAAACTGGACTCTGGCTAGACACTCTCTCTCACGGGACGGTCCTACCGTACGTCGACAAAACGTTGCACCACTTTTGCCGCGCATTGTCAGCTATATTGCATTGCTCCTCCCCCCCCTCCCCCTGATCTTAATATTGGGCATATGGCAAAGGTCCCTTGGCGCCCCCCCCCCCAGGGCTCGCGACAGAATGTTGCACCACCGAACCGTTTCGATGAACCCGGGACCGCAGCCAATGTTAAGATTGGGGGAGGGGGGGGTGGAAGCGAATATCCATTGCAAAATCGGCTTGCTTTCTTGACAGCACCAGGTGGTGCAACAGTTTGTCAATGTACCGCAGCTCTTCGCTTTCCTCGGGACAGCCCCTTTTCGAAAAGGGAAGCTCTCGCCCGAAGGGGGCGCTCGTGCTTCAAGGGGTGCTCTTCCCGTACGCGTAGCCAACGCCTCCACTAGACTTGGCAGTTCTGAGTGGACTTGGAGGGCAGCCCAGCGGACATACAGTCGGGGCGTTGACCTAGGGAACCTTGAATAAGGAACGAGGCACCTTTTTCCCGTAAGTTTAACTTCGGTTTCCTATCGGAAACATAAGGAAAGCCTGAGGCAAGCTGCGAAACACTTAAGGAACGCGGAGCCCCTCCCCAACCAAAAGGGTTCCTTCTTCAGGGCCCCGACTGTACTATACTTGGCATTTCTGCGTGGACGTGGAGGGCAGCCCAGCGGACACATATATCTATATATATGTGTGTATGTATACGTATATATATATGAGAGAGATCCACAGGTACGTCTTCTCTTCTAGTGTGGAGGATGAGGATGAAGAAAGGGGAGGAAGAAAGGTAGATACGGAGGAAGGAGGGAATAAAGGGGGAGGTGGGGAGCAAGGGCGAGGAGGACGAGGACGAGGACGAGGAGCGACCTGCTGCCCAGACCTCGTCCTGGGGCGCGCGTGGCCCTTCGCAGCCCCCGTCGGCCCTCCCCGCTTTTGGAGCAGCGCACGCACGGGCGAACGTGTCCACGGCGAGGTCTGGCGGCGAGAACGGGAAGACGGGGGAAGGAGTGAGGCCGGGGCTGGCTCAGAGGGGGCAACCTCGAGCTGCACAAGGCGACACGTCGCCGATCGATCGGCGAGATGTCCCCGATGGCGATCCTCGGGCGGGGTGGGCTATCGGGGCCCTATCGGCGATGGATGGGCGACTGAGGGTCGACGCGTCCCCCCCCGGAGCCTATCCCCCCCTAACGCCCCTGAGACACAAGAGGTCTCAGCGGCCCACCCACAGCGTCGTCGCCTTGCGTGTTGCGCACTGCTTCTCATCTTCAGCTGCAGCACCCAATTTGCAATTTACCATCCAGGCCCTCGACGTCGTGCCATTGGTACGTTGTCGCAACGTGGGGCCTCGGAGGTCTCAACCCCGTCCCGGGGACTGGCGTTTCATCCTGAGCAGCTTGCGGCCAGCCCCGGCACACGGCAAAGGTCCCCGGAGGCCGAACGATAGCAGCAGAAAACTCTGGCCACGAAATTGGCTTCGACGCGAGGGTGCCGGGGGCGGTGCTGACGCTTAGAGTTATGTCGGGCGTGTCCCGCTACAGTGGGATTTTCGACGAAAAATAAAAAATACCAAAAAAATAATCTTAAAACAGTCCAAGAGTAGTCTGGGGACTATGTTTGGAGCATTGTTTGACCTTTTGTGGGGTATTTTGGGTGTATTGTTTTTATTTGTCGTCGAAAATCCCCTTGTAGGGGGACAGGCCCGACCTAAGCTTAGAGCTCTCGCTCCCATGGCTTGCCTCTGGAAGGGGAGGGAAGGGAGAGGCGTGCCCGCGCGCCGGTGGTCCTGCGCGCCCAGCCACCGTGCGGACTCGCCCTTGGCCCCAAGTGACCCTGCTGAACTCTGCGAGGCCAGGACGTCTGCACATCCTCCGCCTCCTCCTCCTCTTCCTCCTCCTCCTCCTCCTGCTCCTCCTCCAACTCCTCCTCCTCCTCCTCCTCCTCCTCCTCCTCCTCCTCCTCCTCCTCCTCGTCCTCATCCTCATCCTCATCATCATCATCATCATCATCATCATCAGCAGCAGCAGCATCAACATCATCATCATCATCATCACCATCCATCATCTCCTGCATCTCCTCATCCATCCATCCTCCATCTCATCATCATCATCATCATCATCATCAGAAAATAATCATCATCATCATCATCATCATCATCATCCATCCATCCATCCATCATCATCATCATCATCATCATCATCATCATCATCATCATCATCATCATCATCATCATCATCATCATCATCATCATCATCATCGTATTCATCATCATCCTCATCATAATCATCATCATCATCATCATCATCATCATCATCATCAGCATCATCATCATCATCATCATCATCAGCATCATCATCGTCCTCATCATCATCATAGCATCATCATCACCATCATTATCCTCATCCTCATCATCATCAGCAGCAGCATCATCACCATCACCATCATGATACCGGTGAAAAACCCGAATCATAATCTTTTTAGGCTTTAGGGCTATGGGGCGAGAAGGCAACAGGGGGGCTCGAAGGCTATGGGGCTATAGGGCTACATGGCCATAGGGCTATAGGGCTATTGGGCTATAGGGTTATGGGGCTGTTGGGCTATAGTGCTATAGGGCTATAGGGCCATAAGGCTATAAGGCTATAGGGCTATTAGGGCTGTAGGGATATAAGGCTATAAGGCTACAGGGCTATTAGGGCTATAGGGCTACAGGGCTAGGGCTATAGCGCTATATATAGAACTACTGGGAGCCTGGGCAGCCGGGCACCTGGGCACCCAGGCACCCGGGCACCCGGGCACCCGGGCACCCGGGCACCCAGGCACCCGGGCACCACCTGGGCACCCGGGCGTGCGGCGAAAATCGGCGGCAAACCGAACCGAAACATATGAATCCGCTAAGACCCCTACAGAGGCAAGCTTTCTCTCTTTTCTTACATCCCATATCAATCCTCATGTTCGGTGGGTTTGCCTCGTGCAAAGTCCAAGTTTCAAGCGAATGGATGCCTTTTTTCATCATCATCAATCAGCAGCGCAGCAGCATATCATCACCATCATCAATCATCATCATCCTCAGCATCATCCGCATCATCTCATCATCATCATTCCTCAATCATCATCATCATCATCATCATCATCATCATCATCATCATCATCATCATCATCATCATCATAGCATCATCATCATCATCATCATCATCATCGTCATCATCATCATCATCCACATCATCATCATCATCAGCATCATCATCAGTATCATCACCATCACCATCATCACCATCACCGCCACCATCAGCATCACCACCACCGCCACCATCAGCATCATCATCAGCATCCTCAACATCATCAGCATCCTCATCATCATCGTAATCATCATCAGCATCATCAGCATCATCATAAGCACCAGCATCAGCATCAGCGTCATCATTATCATCATCATCATCATCCTCATCATCCTCATCATCATCATCAGCATCATCATCGTCATCGTCATCGTCATGTTCATCGTCATCATCATCGTCGTCGTCATCGTCCTCGTCGTCGTCATCAGCAACATCAGCATCATCATCATCAGCATCATCAGCATCAGCATTATCATCACCATCACCACCACCGCCGCCATCATCAGCATAAGCAGCAGCATTATAATCATGATCAGTACCAGCAGCATCAGCATCAGCAGTATCATCATCGGCATCAGCGGCACCAGCATCCTCATCATCATCAGCATCAGCATCGTCATCATCACCATCACCATCACCATCATCCTCATCAGCATCATCATCAACATCATCATCATCATCAGCAGCATCATAATCCAACTCCTCTTCATCTTCCTCCTTCCCCCGCTTCTCCTGCTCCCCCATCCTCCCCCTCCTCCTCCTCCTCCTCCTCCTCCTCCTCCTCCTCCTCCTCCTGCTCATGTTCCTCCTCCTCCCCCTCCACCTCGTCCTCCTCCTGCTTCTCCTCCTCCTCCTCCTTTTCCCTCCTCATTCCTCCCTCCCTCCTCCCCCCTCACAGTGCCGTGGTGATTATTTGGGCTCAAGGCTTATGCGAAGAGGGCAGCTGTCCGCTAGACTGGACATTGCTGTTACCGCAGCAGGTGTCCCTGCTTCGACGGGTCCGCCCCGGGCTGGCTGGTGAGATCTGCAGAGCGCTCCTTGCCTGACGCTCCAGACATGGATGGTGAGCTCGTAGAGAACTTCGTGGACACCTTCGAGATCTACAGGAAGCCATACCAACTCAGGCCCCTCCTGGGCCTGTTCAGGAGCCAATATTTGGGACTTTGTTGGGACGTGTTGGGGCCCTCGTGGGGGCTTGTTTGGCCGTGTTGGGGCGATCTTGGGGGGCCTCTTTGGCGTCTTGGAGCGCTCGAAGGCAAAATCCGCCGACCCTGTCGGCGTGTGTGAGGGGCTTGTCCGTTCAAGTCGTCATCTCCGTCATTCGTTGGTCGTCGTCTCTGTCATCCCCTTTCCCTGTCTCCCCCCTTGTCCTGGGCTCGTCGAAGCTACCCCATTTCCCAGGGACCTCCTCAGCGCGCCAGCCAAAGCAAAGTTGAGCAACGTCGTATTTGAGTCGAAGGGAAACCCCTTCCCTTCGATCCCTCCCCCGCCGGGGGGGGGGGGGGCCAAGGGGGGTCCCGGGGGGGGTCCCGGGGGAGTCCCGTGGGGGTCCCAGGAGGCCCCAAGACGGGCCAAGAGTGCCCCAAGAGGCCCCAAAGACAGTCCAAGAGAATCTCGAATCGCCGAACGATCTGTCCAAGACGCCTTGACGGCCTCCAGACGGCCCAAGAGGGCTGCAAAGCGCCCCAAGAGGCCTCCAGGAGCTTTCCCACGAGAGCCCCAAAAGGCGAAATTTATGGATTTCCCAAACGTTTTTGAAAGATGTTGGCGTTCTTGCCTCTTCCGCTTCCCGACGCGCCAAGACGGCCCAAGAGGCCCCCAAGATCGCCCCGAGACGGCCCAAGAGGCCCCCAAGAGGGTCCCCTAACGGCCGAAGAGGGCACAAGACGGCCCAAGACGCCTCCAAGACGACCCAAGAGGCCCCCAAGACGGCTCCAGGAGAGTGCCCAGACGGGGGACCCGAACGGACATTTCGAGCTCTCAGCCCCAAGAGGCCCCCAAGAGGCCCCGAAGAAGCCCCAAGAGGCCCCAAGAGGCTCCCAAGTGGCCCCCGAACTGCCCCAAGATAGTCCAGGAGAGCCCCATATTGCCCAGGAGGCCTCCAAGAGTGCCTCGAGACGGCGCAAGAGAAGCCCTGGACGGCCAAGACGGCCTCAAGAGAGCCCCAGGCTGTCCCAAGAAAGCCTCTGGCCTCCTCCTCCTCTTCCTCCTCCTCCTCCTCCTCCTCATCCTCCTCCTCCTCCTCCTCATCCTCCCTCCCCCCTCTGCTCCCCCTCCTCCTGCTCTCCTCTGCCTCCTTCTCCTCCTCTTGCTTCTCCTTCACATCCTTCTCCCCCCTCCTCCTCCCTCATTCACCTCCTCCACCCTTCCTCCACCTCCCAGTCATCCTCATCCCCCTGCCCCCCCTCGATTTTATCTTCGTCGGTCTCAGGGTCTGCGGCACCGGCCGTAAGGCCTTCGCAATAGTAAACAGAAGCTATGGGATCCTTCAAAGAACAATAACAAAAAATGGTTATCGCATCTTGAGGGGCTCTGGCGGCGTATTGAGCCCTCCTGAGGGCCCCGAGATCCCGAAAACAGGCAAAAAGCTCCAGATCCCGTGTCCCTGAGAGCCCCCTTCCATCGTGGCGGTCCTAAGGCTTCTGCGATCAGCACGAGGCCTGAATGCGATTGTTCGGCTCATACATCCTTCGCGGTGGCTCAGAAGGTCAAGGTTCGAGGGGGGGTCCGAGGAGTTTCGAGGACGTCCAGGGAGGTTCGAAGAAGGTTCGAGCGGGACTGGAGTCTCGGAGGCGCCGGAAGCAAAGGGGAGGGAGCTCTGTTGGACTGCCCGCGGAAGGCGGTAGGAAGGAAGGGAGATGAACATTTCCGGGGGAGTGCTCGGAAACGTGGTTGAGTGGCTGTCCAGTGGTCTGGCTGTCCCTGTGCATCTTGGGGTACTCGTGGTGCCGTTAGGAGCCTTTTATAGGACTGTGTTGGGCTGCCCAGGGAAGAATGTGGGATGGAGGAACACGTTCTGGCGGGAGTGTTCCAGAAAATGGTGGAGGAGCTCTCGAGGAGCATCTGGGGGGCTCTCAGAGGCATGTTGGGCGCGCCCTGGTGGCAACTGGGGGCCTCATTCGGGGTGCTTTTGGGGGACCTCCTGGCGGTCTCGGGAGCACTCTTTGCCGGGGGAGGCCGGCAGTGTCAGGTCGTGCCCCCTGGCTGATCCACTCTCTGAGTGTCTTGGCGCCCTGGAGCCCACCTGGGCCGTCCTGGGAGCCCGGTAGGCAGTCGTCGGGCTCTCTCGGGCCGTATACTGGGGCCCTCGCGGGGGCTTCGAGGGCCGTCTCGGGGATCGTGGGGGCCCCTTGTCGGCGTCTTGCAGCGTCGAAGGTCGAAAGAGCGAAGGCTTTCTGAACACCTTCAGAAACCCAAACATATTGTATTGTGTAGGACTCGTGGGCTTCTCTTGGGGCTCAGTCTGGGGCCCTGCTGATGCGCTTCAACGGCTGCTAGATGTGCATGCGCATGCAGATGCACACATCAGCATACATACATGTATCAGCCAGCGTGCCCCTGAGGCACAAGAGGTCCCTTGCTCAGTCCCCTGGACCCTCAGTCCTCAGTCCTGGGAAAAATGTTGGGGGCCCAGGCCCCCAAATTGCCCGATCTCTCGGGGCCGTGCGCGTGGCTCCAGGGACTTGCCGCATGC